TGGATGAGGATGAATATAAAAATAAAATGACAAATATTTTAGACGACTTATGCGCGTATAGAACATTGAGACTAGATCCGACATCAAGACTACAGACAAAGAATAACACCTTCGTAGCACAATTATTCAAGATGGGTCTTATTTCAAAGGACGAAAGAAATAAGATGACTACAACAACAGCGGTACCTCCGAGGATATATGGACTACCAAAAATACACAAGGAAGGAACTCCACTGAGACCAATATGTTCTTCCATAGGATCTCCATCTTACGGGCTGTGCAAATATATAATACAAATATTAAAAAATCTGACAATGGACTCTAGGTACAACATCAAGAACGCGGTAGATTTTAAAGACAGAGTCAACAACTCCCAGATTAGAGAAGAGGAAACATTAGTATCTTTTGACGTAGTATCCTTATTTCCCAGCATACCAATAGAATTAGCACTTGACACAATAAGACAAAAATGGACCAAATTAGAAGAGCACACGAATATACCGAAACAACTATTTATGGACATAGTTAGATTTTGCATACAGGAAAACAGATATTTCAAATACGAAGACAAAATATACACACAACTTAAGGGAATGCCAATGGGATCACCGGCTTCCCCAGTAATCGCAGATATATTAATGGAGGAACTGTTGGACAAGATTACAGATAAATTAAAAATAAAACCAAGACTCTTGACCAAATATGTAGATGACCTTTTTGCCATAACGAACAAAATAGACGTGGAAAATATTCTAAAAGAATTGAATTCCTTCCACAAACAGATAAAATTTACAATGGAATTAGAAAAGGACGGGAAATTACCATTTTTAGACTCTATTGTAAGCAGAATGGACAACACACTCAAAATAAAGTGGTATAGGAAACCCATAGCCTCCGGACGAATACTCAACTTCAATTCAAACCACCCAAAGAGTATGATAATCAATACAGCACTAGGCTGTATGAATAGAATGATGAAAATATCGGACACAATATACCACAAAGAAATTGAACATGAAATCAAAGAACTTTTGACCAAAAATGACTTCCCCCCAAATATAATCAAAACATTATTAAAAAGACGACAAATCGAAAGAAAAAAGCCAACAGAACCTGCTAAAATATACAAATCACTAATATATGTACCACGACTATCAGAACGCCTCACAAACTCAGACTGTTATAACAAACAAGATATAAAAGTAGCACACAAACCGACGAATACATTACAAAAATTCTTCAACAAGATAAAGTCGAAAATCCCGATGATCGAAAAAAGCAACGTCGTTTACCAAATACCATGTGGCGGGGATAACAACAACAAGTGCAATAGTGTCTACATAGGTACAACAAAATCGAAGCTAAAAACAAGGATTAGTCAACATAAATCGGACTTCAAACTAAGACATCAAAATAATATACAGAAAACAGCACTTATGACCCATTGTATAAGAAGCAACCACACACCAAATTTTGATGAAACAACAATCTTACAACAAGAACAACACTATAACAAGCGACACACATTGGAAATGCTACACATAATTAACACACCAACCTACAAACGACTAAACTACAAGACAGACACAGAAAATTGCGCTCACTTGTACAGACACCTCTTAAACAGTCAAACAACCTCAGTAACAATCTCCACGTCAAAAAGCGCAGACGTGTAAAATAATGTATGTAAAATGTTCGAAATAATGTTTAATTTATTGTATTATAATTGTTAATTGTTTTTTGTATCTTGGTGTTAGTGCCCTGAAGACGGTTTGCCGATGTGCAACCGAAATATATCGGAAGAGAATTGAATAAAATTGTTTTTCATTGTTTGTTTTAACAAACACGGACCTCGAGCCAGCCAACAAATAAATATTGAAATATGGAAAGGTCGCCAGAGCCATCAATAAATATCAACGGAAGGCACGCCGTATGCACAGCAACCAACATGAGCTACGCAAAAATAAAAACTAAATACAAGGATTCGAAAAGAACAATTAATAAATTCCAACTAACACTGGTAAAATTAACTAAACTTAAATCTAGTTTAAAATTTTTGTTAAAATGTAGAAAATCAAATTTAATACCTAACTTCATCAAAAACTTGACACAGCATTTGACCATACTGACCACTGACAATAAAACCCACCCTGACATAACAAGAACATTGACTAGACACACACATTTTTACCATACCAAAATATTAAACTTACTTATAAAACACAAACACAACCTATTACAAGAACAAACAAAACATATGGAAAAAGCAAAAACAAACATAGAACAACTGATGACCACAGATGACGCAAAAGCGTTTTTTGAGAGCGAGAGAAATATAGAAAACAAAATAACAACAACACTCAAGAAAAGACAAGAAACGAAACACGATAAGTTACGAGATCAACGGAACCTAGCCTTAGCGGATAACAACACGCAAAGAGAGTGGTTTGTAAACAAAACAAAAATAGAATTCCCGCCAAACGTCGTAGCGTTACTCGCAAAAGGGCCGAAGTTCGCTCTCCCAATCAGCAAGAGAGATTTTCCTCTCTTGAAATACATCGCAGACGGTGAGGAGCTAGTGCAAACAATAAAAGAAAAGGAAACACAAGAGTCGGCGCGCACAAAATTCTCTTTGTTAGTCAAAGAGCATAAAACCAAGAACAACCAAAACAGTAGGGATCGAGCAATACTGGACACAGTGGAACAGACACGAAAATTACTGAAAGAAAATATAAATATTAAAATTCTATCGTCGGATAAGGGCAACAAAACCGTAGCAATGGATGAGGATGAATATAAAAATAAAATGACAAATATTTTAGACGACTTATGCGCGTATAGAACATTGAGACTAGATCCGACATCAAGACTACAGACAAAGAATAACACCTTCGTAGCACAATTATTCAAGATGGGTCTTATTTCAAAGGACGAAAGAAATAAGATGACTACAACAACAGCGGTACCTCCGAGGATATATGGACTACCAAAAATACACAAGGAAGGAACTCCACTGAGACCAATATGTTCTTCCATAGGATCTCCATCTTACGGGCTGTGCAAATATATAATACAAATATTAAAAAATCTGACAATGGACTCTAGGTACAACATCAAGAACGCGGTAGATTTTAAAGACAGAGTCAACAACTCCCAGATTAGAGAAGAGGAAACATTAGTATCTTTTGACGTAGTATCCTTATTTCCCAGCATACCAATAGAATTAGCACTTGACACAATAAGACAAAAATGGACCAAATTAGAAGAGCACACGAATATACCGAAACAACTATTTATGGACATAGTTAGATTTTGCATACAGGAAAACAGATATTTCAAATACGAAGACAAAATATACACACAACTTAAGGGAATGCCAATGGGATCACCGGCTTCCCCAGTAATCGCAGATATATTAATGGAGGAACTGTTGGACAAGATTACAGATAAATTAAAAATAAAACCAAGACTCTTGACCAAATATGTAGATGACCTTTTTGCCATAACGAACAAAATAGACGTGGAAAATATTCTAAAAGAATTGAATTCCTTCCACAAACAGATAAAATTTACAATGGAATTAGAAAAGGACGGGAAATTACCATTTTTAGACTCTATTGTAAGCAGAATGGACAACACACTCAAAATAAAGTGGTATAGGAAACCCATAGCCTCCGGACGAATACTCAACTTCAATTCAAACCACCCAAAGAGTATGATAATCAATACAGCACTAGGCTGTATGAATAGAATGATGAAAATATCGGACACAATATACCACAAAGAAATTGAACATGAAATCAAAGAACTTTTGACCAAAAATGACTTCCCCCCAAATATAATCAAAACATTATTAAAAAGACGACAAATCGAAAGAAAAAAGCCAACAGAACCTGCTAAAATATACAAATCACTAATATATGTACCACGACTATCAGAACGCCTCACAAACTCAGACTGTTATAACAAACAAGATATAAAAGTAGCACACAAACCGACGAATACATTACAAAAATTCTTCAACAAGATAAAGTCGAAAATCCCGATGATCGAAAAAAGCAACGTCGTTTACCAAATACCATGTGGCGGGGATAACAACAACAAGTGCAATAGTGTCTACATAGGTACAACAAAATCGAAGCTAAAAACAAGGATTAGTCAACATAAATCGGACTTCAAACTAAGACATCAAAATAATATACAGAAAACAGCACTTATGACCCATTGTATAAGAAGCAACCACACACCAAATTTTGATGAAACAACAATCTTACAACAAGAACAACACTATAACAAGCGACACACATTGGAAATGCTACACATAATTAACACACCAACCTACAAACGACTAAACTACAAGACAGACACAGAAAATTGCGCTCACTTGTACAGACACCTCTTAAACAGTCAAACAACCTCAGTAACAATCTCCACGTCAAAAAGCGCAGACGTGTAAAATAATGTATGTAAAATGTTCGAAATAATGTTTAATTTATTGTATTATAATTGTTAATTGTTTTTTGTATCTTGGTGTTAGTGCCCTGAAGACGGTTTGCCGATGTGCAACCGAAATATATCGGAAGAGAATTGAATAAAATTGTTTTTCATTGTTTGTTTTAACAAACACGGACCTCGAGCCAGCCAACAAATAAATATTGAAATATGGAAAGGTCGCCAGAGCCATCAGGAAAATATAATATTTAAATAATAGTAATATAACCAAGATACTGAATATGACTTTTAACAAGATTTCTCTTTACATCTTTACACGGAAAGGGGTTATAGAATGAACCAGGCAATTAAAAAAAAAAAACCATAGTAAACTTACAATAACAAAATATAAAAAAATAATTGGATATTATACAAACTAAATAGATTTAAATAAGCTTGCGACAGGCGTGAAGTGTAACCAAATTCGTTTAGACATCGACATCCGTATATTGAAATTTCGTATTAAAAGCGATTCTCTTAAGTCATATGCCTTCTAACAATCCACAAGATGAAACTCTTCATACCGCTCATCGCACTTCATGTAATTGCAGGCCCTCCACTAATTATAGGCAAAAATCAAATCCATTAAAGGAAAATGTAAATAAAGTTTTGTCACGTTTTGCAAAAGACTTTAATTTTATTCAATTAGGTTTATATCGGGTCGAAGTTCAAGTGATTTAAAGTGCTCCGAACGGGAGGGCTCTACTAAGAAGTACCCTGCAGTGACAAGCATTCGAATTTCCGTCTTCCTTTCTTGAATATGAAATTTTCATGAAATATTTATGGCATCCAAATGTGTGTAAATCTACCCTAAAGGGTATAAAATATTTCGTATCTACAAACTAAACTAATTGCGAGGCCTAATTGAGGAATTAAAAAAAAAAGTGTTACTAAATGACCGATTGCTTAATTTATTTAAGTTTTGGTTTATTTTTTAATATATATCTATTATCTAACACTGACCCTTAGCTTTTAACGACCTCTTTGTCATTGGATATTATTGATCAATTTCTAATTTCTCTTTTCGATTGTAGTGCATACGCTCCGATAGCCTAGAGAGCATTGGCGATGTCAGCTCCTCATTGGGCAATCCGCCGTATATTCCCGCCGCCACGGAGGCGGCGAATCTAACGTCATGTGGTAATGCGAGCAATGGCAATGCCTACGCTGGATCTCAGCAGCATCAGGTGCATCTCAGCAACAACAACAATAATAATAACAATAACAACAACAGCAGCAACCTCAACAACAATCAAATGCACTCGGGTCTGCACCATCATCAACAACAACAACAACAGCAATCCGATCTCATGACCAATCTGCAGCAGCACATCAAACAGGATTATGATCTGACGGCGCTTTAGGAGAACCCACACACGCCCCCAGCTCAACCATGTACAATGAGTCCTTCAGTTAGCCCCGCAATACTTTCCGGCACCCACTTCCTAAGTCTTAAGTCTCAATCGTAGCGAAATCCCCCTTTTTTATACACCCGGCGATACCACAAGGTCACCGGGCAAATTCGGAGTATACAGTGAAAAATATTACTTAGTTAAGCCCAAAACCAACGACCACTGGGCAACAACTTAGGCTTATGTAACGTCCTCCTCCCCATTCTACCTTAATATAAAAGGAGAACATTGTAAATTAGTGCTACTTAATTAGAGGTACGTTTTGTATAAAGCATAGCAAATTATTTGTAAGCAGAAGCCCAATTTGTCATAGTTGTAAGTGGAATAATAGTTTAAAGAAATGTATGATTAAATGTATAATTATTATTATTATTATTATCATTATTATTATTGTATCTAACTAGTTGCATCTGTTGTGCGTAGATATATGTAAGTTCGTGCGTATATTTTATGGATACAACAACAAACAAACATTTATAAGTACATAAATATACCTAGACAATATAAAAACCAAATAAACCGAACAAATTTTACTTGGAGTTTACAAATGGGTTGTACAATTGTATGTTTGTTTTTTTTTCAATGTAACTTAAAGTAGCCCGTAAAAAATAATAAAAAGTGAAAAGAATACAATTTCATATAAATTGTAGTCATTTTTAGTTAAAGCCAGATGAGACCCCTTACACATAGGGATCTTGCATCAATAAAAAGTTTACTAAGTACTAAGTACTTTTTTTTAATGAAATTAAATAAATTATTATATAATACAATAATAAGTTTTGGTTTACACTGGCGTGAAGTGTGACCAAATTCATTTAGACATCGACATCCGGATATTGAAATTTCGTAAACACGAGATCACAATTTAGCTAAAACAGAGTTATATGATCAGACGTGCTCGACTAATAAGTAGCCCATAAGCATTCGAATTTTCTTCTACACTGTGCCTCTTTCTGCTTCGGCCCCACTCTATGGGAAATGTGATCTTGAATAACTCGGGTAATTTTTGTCCAATCTGTATACAAATTTCAGGGCACAGATATGGCATTCGAATGTGTTTAAATGTTAATGCTTAAAGCTATACATTGAAAAAAGTCTATTAAACAGAGTATTTATTTCATTCATATGTTGACAACTTAATGCTTTATCTTACCGACTCGAGGTTCCTCCAATTAACCATATATTAGTTCTCAAATAGATAGAAATAAAAAGGTTTTTCTTTGAGAATATTCTAAAAAGTTTCAGCCAAAATAGCTTTAAGAAATATTCAACACAGGATGCGAGCTGCAGACTCGTATTTAACGCTGATTCATCGTTCATTGTCATCTAATTAGGACAAATTTAAACATCATGGCCCCGCGCTGCTGGGCATGTGGGGCTGCCAGACGGGACCATCCTGCGGGCGGCCTTTGTTGCGCTGCCCCGAAGAATTCAACAAGCCTTTGTTGGCAATCAGCGTCGCTCACGTGGAATGGCAGGGGGACGCGGACGACGCGGCGACGAGCTGGGGCTCAGGCTCAATGAGGCGCGAGATGCGCTGGCAGCGATAGTTGGCAAATGCTAACAAGAGTTCTTAATTAAACATCGATTCGCAATGATTGATCACAGCCCATTGGCACCTGTTGGCTTCTGGAAATATGTTAAACAAGGCATCATCTTTCAAAGTGGCAGCCCAGCCAGCCACCAACTCGATCCCCGAGAGAGCGCGAGCGAAAGAGTGTCATAAACTGGTCTTAGCCAGCTTCACGTCTGCGTCATGCGCAACTTCCCTGAAACGGAGCTGGGCTCCTATTGCAAATTGTCGCTGCTCAGTCAGGCAGACATCGCGTTGACAGTGTGTCCAAAAAGCCCAAAAGGTAAGCAGCACATGTGCGACAAGCTCGAGCTGGAGCTGGCCCAGGCACAGGCACGGGCAGAAGCTCGCCACAATCAATCTCCTTTGCCTGACAGTCAGATTGTCTTGCAGGAACATGAAAATACTCTTAGCGCTTAATTTATCATTGCGAAATGATCTACGCGCATTCGGCTCTTAGCCAACAGTTCCAATCGAGTCCAGTCCTGCGCCGCATTCGCCCCTGCTCGAGCAACTGGAAATTGTGCGCACTCGCCCAACGCGATAAAAAAAGGATTAAGACCTACTTACGGCTCCGACTGCGCACCGGAACGTGCTGTTGAGGAACGCGGACCGACCACAAGGGTCGAAATTAGCAGCTCGAAATGCTTACGAGTGCAGCAGCACGTGTTAAGGAAATAACTTAGCAGTCAGGGAGAGAAAGAGAGAGAGAGAAAGGGTGAGACGGGGCACACCTCACCCCAATTAGTGGCAACGGTAGCTCCGCTTGTCACTACCTTTCGACTGTTTGTGTCAGGATCCATCCAGAACCAGTTAACAACATTGACAGCCTTTCCAAATTGTGTAAAACATTGTTTGCAAGATTGTGCTTAAAATTCCCACTCTGCGGGTGAATATGTAAATTATATAACAAAAAAGGATAACCATTAATTATTATATATTTTGAACATTTTGTTTTATTTTTTATTTTAATATATTAGGATATTCATTTGACATTCAGATACTAGGCCTTTAATAAACCTCAAATGTTTACAGCAATGGAAGGTGTTTGATGGCCTCAGGTGTTGGGTAGGGAACTGAAGGTGATTCAAGGTAGGCAGTTTCGAAGATGTGTCCTAGAGTCTTGGCTAGAAAGCGCTCTAATATGTTGATGTTAAAGTTGCTTGCAGTTTCCCAAAGTGGGATGCCGTGAGTTCAGCCCTTTACAATTTAACTTTCATTTGTACCTGGGTTGCAAGTGGACTACAATAATATCATTATACGTGTTACTGTTTTTATCATCTGTTATTTTAAGTGCTCTAAATCTCCTTTTTATACCCTGTGACCATTGAAAATGGGTAAAATTGGTATAATGATTTAGTGCAAATATATGTAAAGCAATCTATAAAATCAGTTTAATAAAGAGCAATAAAGATAGATTATGGTTGTTTTATAAACAATCCATCAAATGAATTTCACGGTGTTCTGCCCCCTTGACAAACACGCATAAATTTGCTTACACTCTTTCTAGAAAACTTAAGATCTTTGCAAGTCCTTCTGATTGACCGTTCGTATAGATGAAGTTTTTTGGAGCTAGAGGCCCCAGTCTGAAATATTCCCGATATGCCCTAACAGGCCCTTACAAACGTAAGTCTAAATATTCTTAAGTCAAGACATCGAGGGAATCTGACTTTCTTCTACAAGAATAATTTTTTTTTCAAAATCTTTAGAAATATTGGGAATTTTTTATACAACAATATTATTTGTTGCGCACATAACTGTAGGGAAGTCGGCCGTATGAAATAGTTAGGAAACTAAACGCAAAAACAGTTTCATTAATAAATAATTTAAAAATGGTAGTAATTTTAAAGTTTGTATTGTTCATAAAAATTGAAATTATAATTTGGTATTTTCGCTGGGTTTATTTCTAAAAGCTATATACCTTTCATTGAACCATACTGAAAAATACAAGTTGATTTTATTTTATTTATTTTTTTTTTTTTGGGAATTCCTTACAAAATGTACCTCTTGCAATGTGCTTCTAAATTTCTTCTATTCAAAATCTTTGAATTGACTTTTGACTGTGTGAAGTATTTTAGCCGACTGAGACGCAGTCGGTAACCGCCTTGTTCGATGTCGGCGTTCGGCATGCATAAAGGCAGTGCTTTAATCCCGTCTCATCCTCTTTCATCCCGGCTAATCCCCACAGAAGTCACCGGACATGGCTCAGCCCACAGAGTCAGGATTGCAGTCAACCCTTTTGTACGCTCGACAGAAAACAATTAACCACGTCTTCTGTTGCTAATTTCATAGGTTTCATAGGTTCCTCCGGTTGCAAGCGCTACTTTGCATACATTCGGCATAGACACAGCGACACGCCCACCTCGCACACCCACGCGTCTGACTGAAACGACGGCGGCGGCGGCACCAGCAAAGGATGAAGCTGAGGGGATTAAGCTGAAGTCAAAGTCGAAGTCGAAAGATTGGCTCCTGCTGAGCGCCGCACGCCGCACACCGCCCGCCGACTTTTCTTTTAATCCTTTCTCCAGGCCACGTTTAATTCCGTTTGACTTTTCTGATGCACTTCTGGCACCGTTTGGCTACCGTTTTGCCGGCCCAGTTTTTCCGGGAAGTGCATTGAGCTGCGCTTACCTGCTAATTAGCTGGCGATATTTATGGCAAACATAAGAGTCTGCTGTTTGTCAAAATACATGTAGGCAATTAATTCTCATTAGGCCTGAATTGGAAACAAATTTACTCAAGCCACGGCACAAATCAAAGTGCAGCCAAGGCCAATGGCATTCTGCGATCCCTGTCCAGCTCCGAGCTGCATTTGCCCACCAACAATTGTGGCAACAATGCGCACTCTCAAGTGTGGCCTCAGAAATCAATCAAGGCTCATCACTCACAGCCACTCGAAGAGCAGCGACAAGCCCTTCCCAGTCCCAAGTTCACCAGTATGTGCGTGTGTGTGTTAGTTTAATTAATGTGCGGCCATTTATTAAATTGGCAGTTTAGTCTTGGCGTCACTTTTGGCCAGTGTTGAGCCTGAAGAGCAAGTGAGACGCGGCTGCGGTTGGCCATTTATTTACTCGGTTTCCTCCTGTCCTGCTCCTGCCTCACCTCCCTATACATATGTGTGTGTGTGTGCGTGTGTGTGCGTGCGTGCGGCCGATCAGCCTAATTTGTAACCATTAACCGATGTATTATATGTTTGGTCAGGCGAATGCATGCTGTTACCCCATGTTATAGAAGGGAATGAGGCATGGATGCTTTGAAGGATGGCTTCATGGTTGGCTGAGCCGACTGACGGATGGATGGCAGCGGTGATTTTTGTCTATTAAATAGCATTTAAACAAATGGCTGTTAAATTTTTTTATGCGCCTACCTCCATTTGTGCTTCTCAAGTGTCTGAAAATCCAAGTGAAGTGTGAAAAGTCAGAAATCTTTTGGCCCAGCCGCAGGTGATTCTCTTGTTAAGATTAATTTGAATAATTGATTTCGAAACATGTTTGAAAAACAATTAAATATTATTGCCAACATACTTCTTAGATTTTAAGTTACTAGAAGATAACTCGCGCCCAGGTCTGAATTTATTTGGCGTATATTTATATAAATAGCCAAAAGAACGATCGATTCTTTTATTGCCATCAACTTCTAGGAGGGAGACAGAAATTTATATATAGACGAGCACAATAATTACTTAGAAAGAAAGTGGATAAAATAAGAGTTATATTTATACATATGTATTTCCAGAATCTACATTTAAAAGAGAGACACAGTGTAAATTTAAATAAAACTTAACACGGCTTGTTAATGTGAACCTTATAATCATAGCTTGAAACCCAGTATATGCTACGCGATTATATGAGAATCGCGTAGGAGGACGATATTTATATGATTATATGATTTCTTAGTGCAGCGCAGCGGATTTAAAAGCGTGAAGCACAGAAAGTATTGAGTAAATGTGAATTGAGATATCTTGACCAAAT